CTTCAAATAATTACTAAATAAATGTTTATAAACACGTATAGAGCTTTTTATTTTATTTGTCCATGTTAAAAGAGTAAAAGTAAAGTTAACCGTAGGTTTTGCGACTTTCAAAAATGCCAATTAAAAGCTTTTTTGTTTTTATCTAAAAAAATTACTACATTTTATATTTACGACTTTAAAGAAATGCAACCAATTTGTAATCATGCTTAAAATGATTAGACAATTAAGAAAACAGATAAACTTATTTATGTCGAAATTCCCTCACATCTGAAACAAAAACAGTATAACAGAATTAATAACACTTTCGAAAAACTTATCATAAATATTTGAAAGATGACGTCGATCGTTTAAGTCTAAATTTTTTGCTTACCAAAATAGAAAAAATGAAGTTTTTCTTATTATATTATTTTATGATCATTTTTACTATTATATTATTAAAAGTAGTAGTAGTATTGCAGAATTTTAGAGAATCTACATATTTTACTGTCTAATACAGCTGAAATTCAAAATAGACGTGAAGTAGATCAAAGTTCGTCACAATGTAATTAAGGGAGCTGATTTATTCTACTCAAAAATAATTAATTATTGATATATAAATTCGAAAATTATATGAATTTCATAAAGTAGAAATTTTGGACTAATATATCCAAATTTTTAAATGTTCCTCTAATTTCAACTTTGCTGTAAAATATTCGATCAATTGGTTCGAAATTTTGAATTATTATTATTAGTACTTGCAATATTATTTTAACTTGACACAACTAATAATGTCAATAACCACTTAGCTAGTACAAAAAAGCCGATGTATTAGTTCAAAATTTGCGTTTCTTACTACAAAATTTTGACTTAACTAACTCCAAAACTCCAAATATTATAACATTTCGACATAATTTTGAATTAATCTTTTGAATTTTTTCTTTGGCAAGCTTAATGAATTTAAATTATCTCCAAATTTCCACTTGCTAATTAAAAATTAATTAAAAATTCAGTATTTCTAAATTTTTTATTTCATTAACTGGGATATTTTTCCCGTTATTTTGGCAATTTGACTTAATACACAAAAAAATGTCCCTAATCAGTTTGACATTTTGTGTCAAATTTTGTAATTATTAATGTATCCAAAATTGAAATGTTTCTCTAATTTCAACTTTACTTTAAAATTTTCGATCATTGCCAAAATTAAAAAACCACCATTTGTTGATTTCATTTGCTATCAAAAAAAAAACTCCAATGGTGATTTTCATATTATACCGCTGAAACTTCAAGAAACGTCAAAGTTGTTATCACGAAACACAGAAGCATAAACAAATTAAGTCAATTATATTAACGTTTGCAGAATTTAACTTTATTTCTCTTTAAAACCCTTTCAAAATCTGCAGTTGAGTATAGTTATAACCTATTTTTGTTTTCCCCCATGTTAAACTTTAGGTTTAATACTACGGTCCTGTCAGTTATATTTTCAAGATTAGTGTTTTTTCAATTTTGGCAAATACTATATATCGAAATACCTACTTGGAATACTAAATTAACTTGGACGTTTTACTGATAATCTGGATAATCACTTAACCAGTACAAAAAAAAAGGATCTATTAGTCAAAATTTGCCTTTCTTCCGATAAAATTTTGACTTAATCAACTCCAAAGCACTAACTAACTAGATTTTGATATATTTTTGAATTAATAGTTTGAATTTTTTCTTTGGCAAGCTTAATGAATTTGAATTATCTCCAAATTTCAACTTGATATAATTAAAAAATTCTGTATTAAATTTTTTTTTTATTTCATTAACTTGGATAATCTACTAGTTTTCTTGAAAATTCGACTTAATACACTAGAAAATGTCCCTAATTAGTTTGACATTTTGTGTCAAAATTTCCAGCTTACTAACTTAAATTTTTTTGAAATTTTGACTCAGTAGTTGTATTTATCTTGAAATTTCGACACAATTTTCGAATTATTACTTTGAAATTACAACTTATCATCGCGAAATTTTGGGTTTCAAGTAGTTTTATGTCTCTCAAGATATCTTAGATGTTTAGTGCTCTACATCGCTTATCTAATATCCTTTTGAAATTTCAAACAAACTGCTTTTGAAATCCAGTGTACGCGTTTTTAAGAAATAAAAAGATATTTTTTTTTAAGAGAATAAGTAACTAAATAAATTAGTTACTGTTTTTCAAAACCCAACTCTCTTCCTATAGGCCTCTTATCAAAAGACTAAGAAATTTGGCATACAAATTGGTCTTAGGAATTTTAAAATTATTCCTTAAAGATTCAGATTTGAAAAATTAATTAGTTTCATGAAATCCCGTATAATTACTAAATTTTGATAATTTCTTAGAAATTTTTGAATTTTTGAAAAACGTGTTAATCATAATGTACTTTTCATATATAAGTAATCTATAAGTAATGACGTGAATATACATATCAATACATTTATATTTTTTATATTTTTTAGAATTACGTGTAAAGGGTGACTTAAAAAATTGAATGAGTGGGGCAATTAATTTTTTTGATTAAATCAAGAATAACTTAAACCATTTTCCCAAAAAGTTTTTGCCCCTATTCAGACTAATATTATGTGTCCCTGTTCAAATGTTGACGCCGTCAGTATAAAATTTTGTAATGGAAAAACTCACTTTAAACATCCGTATAACATGCTTCTTTACTTATACTTTAACTCTGCAAACATACCTTTATTTTAACATAGATGTTATCGATAAAAAATATAAAAAATGCAAAATCAAATTTTATAATATTTAGAAAAAGCTGAATACGCTGTATAGTATTTCAGGGACTAGGGAAGTTCTGTCTAAATAACCTCAGCCTAATATTTTTTTATTATTTATACCGAAGACTTTATGTTCCATTCCATTTGAATATGTAATTTGAAAAAATGTTTTAAGAAAGGACTGAAAAGTGTTTTCTCATGCTTATTCTATCGACTGCAAAGCGCCCTTTATTAAAAGTATTCAATATAAAATCGATTTTTATGAGCTTCATAGAATAAAATAAAAAAAAACAAAAACCCTGAAAAATATTATCAGTGAGTTAAGTTGTATGTATATGTAAATTTTGTAGATAATCCTTTTCTTAACATATGTACATGTGTTAATTAAGTTTCATTTATACATTTAAGTTTCATAACTTGTAAAGGAAACACATACACAGTAAGAAAATAATTTTTGCAGTATGACCATCAATTTTTACTGCCCGAGCGTGAGCTAAGGATGTATAGTATTCGAGACCGTCGGACGAATGGCCATTTTTATATTTTCTCGACCTTTCATAAACCCTAGAGTATGAAAAATGTAGTTTCCTGTTTTCGTTTGTCCGTCTGTCTGGTGTATGTATCCATTTTTATTAGACACGTAATCTCCGAAACTGCTGGACCGATTGTTGTCAAATTTTGTATGTATATTAGAATATCATGTAAATAGATGGTTAAATATTAACCAAAATTTTGTTAATCATCTCCACCAACAATTTGATTACGTGCTTTCAAAGAATTTTATGCTTACTTGATTTAACTGTTATACAACAATGTAGACCTATAAGTCTGGTGTATGAATCTGTTTTAAGTTTTTCCCTAACCGTGCAAATTTTTGCAAAAACATAATTCACGGTATATTAACAGTTTACCATTAGCATAAGGCATCCCGGTCGTGATCTAGTGGTTACGCGTCAGGAATACCAACCGGACGTCAAGCGTTCGATTCCAAACTTGGCCTTCCGATTTTTTTTTTCTATTTTTCTCTCGTATTGTGTATTATTTATGTTTATGACGTCATAACAAATTTTTTATTGATGAAATTACCCCACTTTCTCGAAAAGTTGAGAATACACCCCTCTTTATTTCAAAATGTAAAACCTTTTCTGGGGAGCCAAACGTCTTTTTTTAAGAATGTGAAACCTTTTCAGGGATCACAACTGTCTTTTTTTAAAAATGTAAAATCTTCTCGGGGGTCCGAAATGTCTTTTTTAAAAATGTGAAACCTTCTCGGGAGCGCCAAATGTCTTTTTAAGAATCTGAAACCTTCTCGGGGCTCCCAACCGTTTTTTTTTTTAAGAATGTGAAACTATTCTCTTTTAATGAAGGCGAAACCTTCTCGAGAATATTAGATCTTCTCGAGGCTCCAAACTGTCATTTTTAAGAAAATGAAACCTTCTTTTTTAATTACATTGTGACTAACACCTTTTATATTGTTTTTACTCCATAGAGGTTATCACGAAAAATTAAAATTCCGCAAAATCAAATTTTATAATTTTTCAGAGAAGCAGTATTTGTTGGACTGCACTTCAGAAGCGAGGGAAGTTCTGTCGAAATAGCTTTCGACCAATTTTTTTCTCAATATTTAAATATGTTTTGTCAAAGCAGATCGAGACCACCTTCCTACATAAATTTTGTTGAAGCATTTAAGAAAATTTTACTAAGCCACTGGAAAACCTTGCAAGTCGCCGCCTATGTGTAGACTCTAGCAATTATTTTGTTTCCTGCTGTAATAATATTCAAAAATAAAGAAGAAAGCGTTTATGGTAAATCCCAAAACCTTGTCTGTGAACGTATGAGTCATCCCAAGCATTTGTTTCCGAAGATTTGAATAAGTTTCTCAAGATATTAAACCGTATCTCCGTGAAGTCAGTTTTGTAGAGATTATTCAACTTTAATTATCCACGTATTTTACTATACTCACTTACATAATTGGCCCCATAATGGGCGATCCGGATCAGGCGGCATTTGCAAAAACGAAAGTGCGGTAACGATGGGTAACGAAGTAACCCAAATACGACCACTGGTCAATTAAATCTTTAACCGACCAGTACAAACAACGGACTTTTCTTGCCCATTCAATGTATAAATGCAGCCTATCTGGTCCTCCACGGTTCAATGAACACGGCGTTAATTTCGGCTCTTATGCAACAGACTCTACATTCAATGAAAGGAATACTATTCTCACGATCATTTTCGACTTATTGTAGTCCAATTTAGTAAAAATAACGCAGTCTAATTGTAAGTTTACTTTCTACAAAGAACACAACAGGAAGCTATTCTTTATTGGCTGAGTTGCTGAACTTTTTATTGAGCATGTGAGAGGTTCCGATCGAAAAACGAAAATACTTGTTGGTTTATTTTTGCCAAGGCACGGCGACTAAAAGAATGCCTTCGGTAGACAAGCAGCAGACGGCTTGTTGAGGAAGAACATTTTGCGGAAGTTGGTAACTTCGACTTGTTGCCATACAGCGCTGTGCAGTGGTAGAAATTTCTTGTCGTTGAGCGGTTACCTCCACACTGTTAGGTCCAACAGTGCATTTGAGATCTTCTGGATTATATCCACGGGTATCAATCATTAACTGAAACAGTAACAGATTAAATTATAAAACACGTTTTCTAATTTTTTATCCACTGAGATATCGATGTTATCGTGTTTACGTAATATGTTAAACTTACCTACCTCAAATCTATCTTCATTAAAGTAAACGCTGTCCATTTCCTTTCCAGTACGCACTGCCGGAGTTTGTAACCAGGTTTTGGCTAGATAAGTATATTTTACAGAATGGTACATGAGTGTTATTATATAATTACCCTTTCCTCGAACGTGTTCAAACAATGGATCCTCAACAGCTGATAATTGTTTCTGAGTTACAGGAATAAGAGTTCCTTGAGTTTTTGAACCGGGAGGTTCTTCATTAACTGGACTAACCACTCCTTCTTCTTTATTTTCAGCGGACATTATACAATTTATCTTACATTTTATTTAAATAACCACATAAATTTAGACAACAATTTAACAAAAGTGACAATGACAAACAAGTTTTACGAAAATTTTATCAGTCACTGTTACAGATATTTGTTCATAGCTAACTAATACCTATATACTAACAACGTTTCAACAGACTGCCGGATTTATGAGCATATCTTTAAATAAATTGTATTTGATATTTTTATTTTTATTTATTGACTGTTAATGAATATTTTTATGTCCCGAACGTAAGCGAACAAGGTATTGTAATTGAGTCCATCCGACGAATGGCCACTTTTATGTTTTCTCGACGTTTCATGACCCCTACAATACGAAAAAATTGGTCTAAACAGTTTAGACAGTACTTCCCTCGCTTTCGGAAACGTGACGACTGCATGCCTATTGTGATTTTTTTTCGCAGTAGATTTCAAAGCATTCGGTTTTATAGTCCCTGAGTAAATCAATAAAATAAATTTACGCATTCATTATTTTTTTTGAGTCACCCGGTATAAATTTGTTGCAAATTCAAATAATATGAATGGAATGATAAATTACAAGTACAGACTCATCATATTTTGTACATTCTAGATAGGATTTATTCGGCAAACTTTTGAACTGACGTCATCAGTTTTTTGGAGAAGATAACCAAATATATTTTTACTAAAAATTTATTATGCTCTTTATAACCTTAAAACATCTGCAAGATTTCAAAACATTCGGTTCTGTAGTTCCTGATTAAATCAATAAAATACATTTACGCATTCATTAATTTTTTTGGGTCACCCTATATATGCAAATCCAAAAAATATGAATGGAATGATAAATCACAAGAAGAGACTCATGATATTTTGTACATTTTAGATAGGATTTATTCAGCAAAATTTTGGGGTGACGTCATCAATTTTTTAGGGGGGATGAGCAAATACATTTTGATCAAAAACTTACCAAGCTTATGATAACTTTAAAACATCTTCAAGATTTCAAAGCATTCGGTTTTGTAGTTCCTGAGTAAATCAATAAAATAAATTTACGCATTCATTAATTTTTTTCAGTCACCCTGTATCTGCAAATCCAAAAAATATGAATGGAGTGATAAATCATAAGTACAGACTCATCAGATTTTGTACAGTTTAGATAGGATTTATTCGGCAAACTTTCGAGCTGACGTCATCAATTTTTTGGAGGGGATAAGCAAATATATTTTTACTAAACATTTATTATGCTTTTTATAACCTTAAAACATCTGCAAGATTTCAAAACATTCGGTTTTGTAGTTCCTGATTAACTCAATAAAATAAATTCACGCATTCATTATTTTTTTTGAGTCACCTGTATATGCAAATCAAAAAAATTTGAATGGAATGATAAATCATAAGAAGAGATTTACCATATTTTGTACATTTTAGATAGGATTTATTAAGCAAAATTTTGTGGTGACGTCATACATTTTTTAGGGGGGACGACCAAATGCATTTTGATCAAAAATTTAGCATGCTTATCATAATTTTAAAACATCTTCAAGATTTCAAAGCATTCGGTTTTGTAGTTCCTGAGTAAATCAGTAAAATAAATTTACGTATTCATTAATTTTTTTGAGTCACCCTGTATATGCAAATTCAAAAAATATGAATGGAGTGACAGATCACAAGTACAGACTCATCATATTTTGTACATTTTAGATAGGATTTATTCGGCAAACTTTTGAGCTGACGTCATCAAGTTTTTGGAGGGGATAACCAAATATATTTTGACTAAAGATTTATGATGCTCTTTATAGCCTTAAAACATCTGCAACATTTCAAAGCATTCGGGTTAGCAGATTCAAAATTAAATTGCAAAATGTTGTTTTATAATTTTGATTTTTTTTCCAAAAATCTGGACGTTTCGGGTAAAAACTCAATTCGGAGTCGTAAACTACATGTGTAGGACTATGTTATTTTATACAATTTAAAACCCATTTACTATGTACAATTTTGAAGTGACGTCATCGCATTGGTGGTGGGGATGATTAGACAAATTTTGGTTAGCGTTTTACAATCGGCCTAGTACTTTCGCAGATTATCTTTCTAAGAAAAATCCGGGACGGCAGACAGACGGACAGACGGACAGACGGACAGACGGACAGACAGACGGAAATGGGAGACCTATTTCTTCGTCTTCTAGGCGTCATGAAAGATCGAGAAAACGTAAAAGTAGAGAGTCGGCCGACGGACTCTATTACAATACTTCCTTTGCTTACGCTCGGGAAGTAAAAAGCAGTCTCCCGTTTCCGTCTGTCCATCTGTCTGTCTGGTGTCTGTATCTATTTTTGTTAGACACGTAATCTCCGAAAGTACTGGACCGATTGTTGTGAAATTTTGTACTTATATTACGAATATCATGTAGATGGTAAAACGCTAACCAAAATTTGTCTAACCATCCCCACCACTAATGCGATGACGTCACTTCAAAATTGTACATAGTAAATGGGTTTTAAATTGTATAAAATAACATAGTCCTCCACATGTAGTTTACGACTCCGAATTGAGTTTTTACCCGAAACGTCCAGATTTTTGGAAAAAAAATCAAAATTATAAAACAACATTTTGCAATTTAATTTTGAATTTGCTGACCCGAATGTTTTGAAATGTTGCAGATATTTTAAGGCTATAAAGAGCATCATAAATCTCTAGTCAAATTATATTTGGTTATTCCCTCCAAAAACTTGATGACGTCAGCTCAAAAGTTTGCCGAATAAATCCTATCTAAAATGTACAAAATATGATGAGTCTGTACTTGTGATATATCTCTCCGTTCATATTTTTTGGATTTGCATATACAGGGTGACTCAAAAAAATTAATGAATGCGTGAATTTATTTTATTGAGTTAATCAGGAACCATAAAACCGAATGCTTTGAAATTTTGCAGATGTTTTAAGGTTATAAAGAGCATAATAAATGTTTAATCACAATATATTTGCTTATCCCCTCCAAAAAATTGATGACGTCAGCTCGAAAGTTTGCTGAATAAATCCTATCTAAACTGTACAGAATATAATGAGTCTGTACTTGTGATTTATCACTCCATTTATATTTTTTGGATTTGCATATACAAGGTGACTCAAAAAAATTAATGAATGCGTAAATGTATTTTACTGATTTACTCAGGAACTACAAAACCGAATGCTTTGAAATCTTGAAGACGTTTTAAAGTTATCATAAGCATGGTAAGTTTTTGTTCAAAATGTATTTGCTTATCCTCCCTAAAAAATGTATGACGTCAGCACAAAATTTTGCTGAATAAATCCTGTCTAGAATGTACAAAATATGATGAGTCGCTTCTTGTGGTTTATCATTCCATTCATATTTTTTGGATTTGCATATACAGGGTGACTCAAAAAAAAATTAATGCGTAAATTTATTTTATTGGTTTACTCAGGAACTACAAAACCGAATACTTTAAAATCTACTGCGAAAAAAAAACATAATAGACATGCAGTCGTTACGTTTCCGGCAGCGAGGGAAGTACCGTCTAAACTCTTTAGACCAATTTTTTATTGATTAAATTAAGAACGTCATTTTTTAAATTTGCTTATACAGGGTCACTCAAAAAAATGAATGAATCACTCAATTTATTTTATTGAATAAATCAAGAATTGTAAAACTGAATACTTTGAAATCTTGTAGACTTAAAGCAAAAATGATGTTACAATATCCAACGTTAGTAGTACATATACACTCTGGATTTGATTTTTTAATTGTCTGAAGGAGTGTATTTATTTAACAGCCAACAGCATGTTTACTTGACGTTTCATATCATCTCCCACAGTATGAAAATATAGGTCCCCGTTTCCGTCTGTCTACCGTCTGTCGTCTGTTGGCGATTTTGTTAGAAATTTTAGTAAATGGTAAAACACTAAAAAGTGGTTCCTATTTACGTGTTATAAAATAATATCCTTCTATTAGACTTGTGGTTTATTATTTATTAAACTGCCGAATTTTTTCCTTAAGACCTAGATTTTTGGAAGTGAGTTAAAATTTGTCCAGCGACATTTTACAGTTTTACTTCAAAATCATAAAACCGATTTCCAGGAGTCTTGTAAATGATTTAACGTTGTAGTGGGCATGGTAAATCGTTAGTCAAGATACATCTGTGTGTCTTTCCAAAAACCTGTTCTAATCTCAAAATTTTACTAGATAAATCCCATTTAAAATGTAAAAATATTACGTGTCTTCACTTCTGGTTTATCATTGCAACCATATTTTTTAAAATCGTTTCTACAGGATGTCTCAAAAAATGTATGAATGAAGCAATTTATTTTATGGATTAAATCGAAAACGTTGTTATGGATACTACATTGTGTCTATCTAATTTAAAATTTAGCGCACTAAAAAGTTTATAAAGTCAACCTTCCATCAATTTAATAATACAAATTATCAAAACCTTATCGAAACTTATTAATTGAAAATAATATTGTGTTATGCAATACGCAACAGTAATGTTCTAAAATGTATAAATGGTTAGACAGAAGGCTTGGCCAAAGAATCAATATCATTTATATTTTATTTTGTCATATTAAAATGTTTACCACCTACCTACTCGTCTATTTTACAAAAACCAAAATTTTTTCCATGATTATCACGGTACTATTTGTTTTTCAATAAATAATTGTCCTTAACGAGAGTTAACAGGTTGAGTGCCATGTCGGTCTTATACGACCGCTGATAATGTTTCCAACTCTGCCCAGCGGTCGTATACGACCGCCAATTTCTCCCGATGCATACACGTTTCTAATATGCCAGCGGCAGAGACTTTTAATACATAGACTGGCTGTGTCAGGAAAAACGTGAAGTTTTTCGACCGCCATATTGCTTATAACCGTAAGTGCGCGAAATTTGAATTTTCAGGTTACAAAATGCAATTTAAAATGTTAAATAAAAAAGACAACAAATTGTAATTATTTATTTAACATAATATCTATATGTATATGTAAATTTATTTAAAAATATTAATGTCCTTGAAACAAAATTAATTTCGTGAAGTTTTGTCTTAGAGATAGCTTTTTCACGCTCAGTACTTAAGCGGCACTCATAACCTATTCCGAGAGTCAAATGATTTCTCAAAATTAATTTAAGCAATAAATTAAAATGAGAATTATTTACGTCCAACTAATCCATACTAAACAAATGTTCATTATGTAGAAAAAAAATGTATGGTTCTACTTTGCAAAGTTAAGGCAAACATTTTAGTTACCAAATCATTTTTAATGGCCATATTTACAAACAATCTCGTAAGTCCCGACACACAACCACTTTTATTTCGAGGTGTAGAAACGTTCTGTGCTAGAAACTACTGCTGCTAACCACCACAACCTCGCTTGATTTGACATAAAAGTTATAGCAATGGCGTCCATACTACCATGCGCCGTGGCTTCACCAAAATGCATTAGAAATGTTACTAACAGCCAGTCTATGTATTTAAAGTCTCTGGCCAGCGGTCGTAGCTACGACTGCTTTTAATACATCTTTCGACCGCTGAGGCATACCGGCCTTGCAGACGAATTTATTAAATATTTATTTAATATTTCGTTAAACAAAACGTCAAATAAAATTTTACAAAATTTTAATGTAAATTAAGGTACAATTTATAATTGGGTATACAATTTTAAACGAAAAAACATTTCTTATAAAATAAAATAAAATAAAATATAATTTCATTGTTTATTGGGAGTGTTAAAACAGTTCAGACACATATGAGGTTCACCCTATATGTCACAAATTTTTTTTCTTGATTCTTCGTAAGTTTGCCACGCAATTTCTTGCCATAACAACCTTTGCAATATTTTCGTACTTTATCAAATTTTCCTTCCTTTCTAAGTAAAGTGCAACGACCGCTAGTACGACCACTACGACCGCTTTGGCAATTGCGGAATAAAAATGCCGCCCCCGCCCGAGAGGGCAATACGACCGCTACATGAATTTTGCAAAAATTTTGCTTATTGTAAAAAGTAGCAAAAAAGTTGAGAAATATTATTTTGAGCGTAAAAACACATATTATTTTCAACTTGGCACCAGAAACAATTTTTGAAAATTTTATATGGCAGTCAACCTGTTAATGATTATTACATTTTCTTAACTAATTTTAACATTTTTCCTTCCCGATAATAAGCTAAGGAAGTATTGTAATAGGACCCGTCCGGTGAAGGGTTACTTTCATGTTGTTTCGACGTGTCATGATCTCCAAAGTACAAAGAAATCGGTCACCCGTTTTCAGAGAATTTTCAAAATTATTGTTAAATTTTATGTATGTTAGGATATCGAACAGATGGGAAAACCCTAACCAAAATTTCCCTAATCATCCCCACCAATAATTTGATGATATCATCTCAATATTTTGCACAGAAAATGCTATTCAAATTTTATAAGGCAACCTTTTTTTTGTACTCTAGCTCATATTACATATTTTTTTAACTCATAAGGGTTATTATAAAACAACCAAAATTTGGTAAAAAAGTTGTAAATTGTACAGATTTTTGTAATTTAATGAAGAAATTATTATATTAGGTATATGTATGTACCTATACTTCTAAGTTATCGAACATCAATTTAAAATTTATTTTAATAATTTTAATACTTACGTATTGTGCTTAGCATTGTTAGTGAATAGATAGCCGCAAAATATCCGCTTGAATATCCCAATAAATATCCATCTATTAAAGCTATTTTTGAAAGTAAGCGGCTATTTAACAACACTAAATTTGTGCTATTGTATGCAATTAAAATTATTAATGATTAGAATTTCTGAATTAATAACATGAACAACATAATACAATAATTATATTAATAATAAATTTATTTATCAGTTAAAAAAATCATACATTAACTATTATCTATTGCTCTTTTTCGTCCTTTTTGTTTCGTCTGATATAAGTATTTTCAGTGATAAGTTGAATATTTCAGAATTTTGAATGACATCATCTAAATCTTCAAAATCATCATCGACGTTACTCTCTTCACTTCTGGATATCTCGTTTCTCTTGTCATTTCCTGAAAATGCTCCTTAGGAAACTGGGTGAAACGTCGAAACCTTCTTCAAATTTAACACCGTCCAAACCTGGAAAACGTTCAGTGCTTTACAGTTATTCACGAGAGGTTTCGCGCCTAAAAATTCAAAACGCAACCAATATTGCACACTTTCTTTCAAAACGCAACCAACATTGCATATTTTCTTTTATTTTCTATTACAATATTTTTAATTATACATACTTAGTTCTTTGGTTTTAATAATTTGATAATAAAGGTCACTCTTTGGTTAAAAGCAAAATCAAACTAATTCAAACAAAATATATACTGTATAATGTTTTCTATCCAAACAAATGAATTAGGTAAAGGTATAAGCCTGAAGATGTTCTATGCATTAACTAAGCTTGACGTTTTCAATATTGCTGCACAATTTGTATTCAGAGACGTTTTCAGGCAAATGTCATTTGTTTTTTTCAAAAACAATTTCACCGTGGTATCCGATAGGTGGCGCTAGAGATCTCAGCTTGATACCGCCTAATACGATGTGTACTTAGTACTTTTAAAAAGGCCAATTTAAGCTGGAGTTCCTACACTGTTTTCTATTTTGCGGCCGCCATCGCCCGTATGTCAGACCTACTTAAGTTAATATAGCAAATTTACTAGAGACTTTATTCCGTTCATAAGATAACGCAAATTTTTACATTTCCTATGAAAGAAAGCTACGTAAATATATAACAAATGTGCCGGCCAAAGTAAGAATGACGGCAGGAACATTTGTGTTCTTAGTGTGGCACTAATACAGCATACCTTTATCGCTAATTTGACAATAAGAGGTATGTAAAATCATGGAAAATTTTACAGTGTAAAAATATTTGATGGGTAAAATTTTCAAATTGCAATCAAATCAATTAGAATATCAGTTCTATTTGACAGAAACCGTTTCTTAGAGAACTGGGCAGCATCATATTTATTTCATAGATAGCGCCATACGTGACGCCGCTGCACGTTGTAATGTAGATTTCTTTTCTGTCAGTTATGCGCATAATGCATGTTTGTCAGCCATTGGTGAAAACTGAAAAACATTCTGTTCAAAACCTTTAGAGACAGTGTTATTTCGTTTGGTAACATTTTTTTGTTTCACTTTTAATATGAATTTTGAACCCGCAGGTGAATATCATTTACGTAGCGTTTCTCTAAATTTGATAATTATAACCTCAACTTTCTCATGCACAATGTTTACTGCATCGCGAATTTATTTTGTTATAGTTAGATTTTCAATTTTCAAATTGTTGTAGATTTTACGAAAGATGTGTCATTGCCTAGTAGAAGTACGAATCTCCAACCGCGAGGTAACCAGTATCAAAGCCCTTTACTCCAAAACAACAAACCAAACAACTTTAATAAAAATTTTTCTTCCAAGACGAACAACAAACCAAACTCACACTTCAATGGTGCAATTCATAATAGACTAGGGAACAGAAATTCTTATGCAAATAATAATATGGACAATGCCATGTCAAATAATGATAGAAATTTCAACAGGAAGAGGAAAAATCCAGATGGGACGCCAGGTCCTATGCGAAAATGGAACAGAAATAAATTTTATAATAATTCAAATAATAATAATCAGCACAACAATTCAGCGCAAAATCGTTTGAATCGCATTAGGAGCAGCAATCAGTATTTGAATTTGATTCCAAAGGTAGAGACAGAAAATTCATATGATCAGCCTGACGTCAGTAATATTAATGATTCACAAGAGTTTGATGCACCAGACATTACTGTAGAAGTGATAAATCACGCTGCTCAGCCCAAGGAAGAATTGAGTCCTGTTCGTTTTAAAATGTTGTTGGACCCAAAAACTCAGGCTGCGATAAAAGTTATTCAACAAAAACGAAAAGATAAACAGGTTATTTTTCCTTTTCCTGTCACTCCTAACACGACTGGAATTTCATTGCATGAACGCTTTACAGTCCTGTAATTTGTTTTGTATTAAAAACTCTTTCACCTGTAAGTATAGACTTCGTATTTTAGAGGTACATTTTTGTAATATGTAGCGCTTAAAAACGACGCTGGACAATTATTATTCTTAACTTTGAAAAGTGTTTTAGTTATGACTGCTTTTAATTATTTTTGTTTGTTTAATAAATAGAGAATAATTATTGTTTTTCTTGAAATATTCATTTTTATAAAATGTGTGATTGGGTATTGTTTCCACATTAGTTGGAGAAAAAGCAGATTTTATTACCAGAATGTGTGACACAAACTAATTTTGTTAGAACCTATGTGTTAATAGTTTAAAAAAAAATCAATGGATTATCTTAAAAAAGTCTTATGCGTTTGCCATAGTGTCACCATGACGTGTATTTCTGATAATCTAATGTGTTTTTATATTTAAAGTGTCTTTGGTCACTCATGTTCGATATTATATATTTTTAGATTACCTTTGTTCTGTTAAAATTAATAAAATTTTACATAAAATTAGTCACATTCTGTTTAATTATCCGCAACTGAAACACATGAAAATAGTATTGGAAGGCTTTGTGATAATATAATATTTTTATACAGGCTGTTTACTAACCATGCGACAAAAAATCAGGGAGTTATTTCTTGGATCATCACAAGATTTTTTTGCCTTTAGATGATTTAAGCTTTTCGAAAATAAAATTATTAATTCATATTACTTGTAAATAATAATAATTATAAAAAATGCTGAAAATGATTCCCACCAGCTACAATCTTCGCCTCATTAACTGCAAAACTTTTTCGATAATATCAGAATTATTTCTATACAGTAATGTTTCAAATGGCCACATAAATAAAAATCCAAAGGAGCTAAGTCTGGATAACGAGCAGTTTTACTTTACTTTTTTCCCCCGTATCTTTGAAACAAAACGTCTTTTAGAAAATCACTAAAATACAAAAAAATTTTAAAATAACCCTAGGAATAACCTCCTGAATTGTTGCCGTAGGTTTTGTAAACACCTATGTATCACTACGTTGTTTTCACTAATTATTTGCGCCGTTAGTTTTGCGTTTTATCAGATTTTATCATTTTGCATTGGAAAAAATAAGATCTGTTTGTGGAAACTAGTTCCGTACTTTTAAGTGAGATAGAGAATGTTGAAAACATTTCCTTGTTTAATTTGCTGTCATAAAAAGTTGTTCGAAATAAAAGGTATTTTTTATAATAACAATTATTACTATGTCAGTTGATCAACAGGTAAACTTATTGATGAACCAACAAAAAAGAAATGTTGACGTATTCGAGTTTTGACCTCACCATTCACGGAAGTCTGATACAAAAGAGGAAGTATTGGAGCGTGATTTAAAGACCTAGCTTGACCTAGTGTAGATCCAAGTGTTTTGTAAGCCCAAATGTTATATTTTCTATATGTCTGTGTTGTCAAAGATGACAGCGAGGCCTAGAAAAGAGTGATAATGTTTTACATTTATAACATCTACAGAACACTGAAACACGTATCGTTATTTATAGAAAAGTAATCGTTAATTTAAATGATAAAGAATGAAGGTCCCAAAACATACCCTTGATGAACTTCTGAGCTTTGTTTGAACGATTTTGGGATATGCTCTTTGTGTTGTACATAAAGAAATCAGTCGCATAAACAAGACTTGTAAAAATCAAAAAGAAGGAACGAACTCTAATACTTTACTAAAGTTATTGCTGATGGTTTTGATTTGAACTAATTTGATGGAATTACAATTATTGACTTTTGCAAAAGAGTCTGCCACCCAGCTTTTCACTCGAAAATTATTTTCTGTACAAATTTTACTAACACAATTTTAGGCAACCAAACATACAGAGTTGGCATAAGTTCCAGCGTGTGAAATCCGAGTAGATTATTTCGTAACAGTTGATGATATAATAAATAAGTTTTTAAAATGGAATAAATTCTTTTCTATTTTTTTTCCATTCCTTCGAAAGATGCAATTAATTTCGACACAAATACATCTTACGCATGTCTAGCATTCAGGTGGCCACGTGCGTTGGGTAAAGAGGTGGCAAAAAGGACAAGGTGTTTGGTGTTTGTAATTTTGTATGCTTTGTTTCTTACTTGCACTTATTTGTTGTTATTTCGGTTATTGAAAAATGAATGCCGAAAATTGCGAAAAAATGTGGACGAAAGACAAAAACTTTTGGATTAATATTATTTATCAAATAATTTGTCATAACCCAAACATCCCGCCACAATTTCACATGTGAAAAATTTTAAAACCCGCGAAAAATTCAAAATTTAACATTGAACTATGATCCTACACAAACGTGGAACCCTGCGTTGTGTTTTTTTTTATGGCGGAATGCGTCCAAATACAAAATGGTGAACCCGCCCCAAGGCTGGAAAAGCGCCCCTAAATCAAATACAAAAGATGGAGGGCAAAAACTGTTTATTCCTCCACTGCGGAGAAGTAAAAACAATTCAAAAATAAGTCTAATTTTAAGTGGAGGATATATTCCCCAAATGAAGAATCCTATACAACCTTCAAAAATTAAATTAAATGTTACGAATCAAGACAACGAGAAATCTGAATGAAAGCAATTAATGGATGCAAATATACAAGTTATATGTGGCGGCAAATTTAAATATGAACAAAACCAAAGTCTATGTCGGGAGTCCAAATCATGTATCAATGCTACAGGATCGATGGCTCTTTTCTAGGTGAAAGAACTCTTCAGATTTCAGGTTTAGGTTGTGTAATAATATTTTCGGGCTACAACATACACTCACCCTCGCAGTGCAAGACTGTTACATAATTGGCCGCATCATCCACTTCTTAGCAGTTATCAGATTGGAAGGTATCCCACAAAGAAATAGGTATTCCATGCGAACCAAAAAACATTTTTTGGGAGCCAAACTCGAGCTAAAATTTACCCTTCTAACGTTGACCGAGCAACTTCATCTCCTCCCTTTGGTTACACACTTTATCAACAGTTTGAATCAACAGATAGTTTACACTAAGGTTAAATTAGGTATTATTTCAAGTTATATATTAATTACATCAAATCGCATGCACGGATTACCTCTGGGCCGAAAACCTCACATCACATACAAAAAGACACGTATTCAACACGATCAAAATCACAATCAGTTGGTCTCGAAAACTCTTGGTGTACTTTGAGGATAAACGTTCAAATATAAGCTGCAAGAAAATGATTAAACCTGCAAGAAAATAATTAGACTTGAAACAAACTATTATACCTGTAAGAAAATTTTGCGACGGTGACGATCCGGGTTTTCGCCGGTAACGCGTGGGGGCGGCGTGCCTCGGTGGCAAGCCTTGGGCCGACTAGTGCCGCTGAAATAGAAACACATCTGGCGGACCTAGGTTTATGAAGACAGTTTCACACCACCGGGGGTGGCGCCTTCGGTCAGGAGCAGCGGTCGCTCGGACGCCAGCTTTTTTTCCGGAGGAGGGAGCACCGGGGTTGCTCTCAAGCCGAAGACACGGATTTCCAGGTGGTGAGCGCCCGCGAAAACAAGAAAATAAATAAAACGGAAAGAAATATTTTACAATAAATCGGGTTTATTTCATGGCACCAGCTACACGACTAAAATAATAATCTTACGGCTAATTCTTAAATAAAACTACAAGTCGGTGCAACAAAATAAGCAAAACCAATAAAACGTCCGGCACGGTCGTTCCCTCCTGGACAGCTACTTTCTTCCAGTTTTTGAATCCATGAGAGTATGAATTTATCCGCAAATTTACAAGGTCTTCTCTCTCAAAATGGATCAACGTTAGATCAGTTAAATGCCATAAATGCATTACCAGCGATCTCGAATGAGAAGTTAAGAAGTGTGTTATAAATGTTACAATATAATACTTCAGTAAAAAAAAATCTGTGCCGTCGCCGTCGTTAGGATTAATTTTCGTTTAAACGAAGGCTCTTTTATGAAATGACACACTAAACTTAATCCAGATAGCCTTAAAGCTCACGACAACAAGCAAGCATCAATTTTTATTTTTTCCGATTAAAATTTTTCATACAATTTTAGGCCCGTTTAAAAGAAATGTTTTGCGTACGGAGTTTTGATATTATTAATTTTATGTTATCCAAGAATGAATTTTTTGTACGTAGCTCAATCAGTTGTCTCAACATTAATGTTGGCATGCATCTTTTTTTAAGTGACTCTGTTATGTTTAGGCCAGGGATTGTGTAGACTTTGATCACTCAATAATTTATTAATTAATGAATTACTATTTTAATTAATTACTTAATATACTATACTATTCCCTCTTTATCAATCACTTCCCTCAAATAAATTAATAACGTTAACGATTACACAAGGAATAGGAATAAAACGACGCAAACAAATATATAACATCTGAAATATAACTTAAAATATCATTTTATGTAGGTACAGCTGTCCCTGGATGGAATTCCGAGATTCTTTCTAATTATTCCAAAAACAAGACAAGGAAACCTCGAAATTCTTTCGAACTACTTCAGAAACAAAATCCAAGGGTTTTCCAAATTCTTTCAAACTACTTAAAAAATGAAACACACACAGTACAATTTTTTTAATTTTGGCAAGATGTTGTAAAACTGTATCAATTTCAACATCTGGTATGTAGTGATTTTTGTCTTCGACACACTGTATTTACGCAGATAAACTTTTTGGCATTTCAGGGGCGGAAACGAAACCTGCAGTGTGTCGGACGAAGACAGAAGCAGAAACATACCGTTTTACAACACTTTGCCGAAATTAAAACCGTATGCTGGTCACATTTAAAACAACTTAGGCTTTTAGTTTTATAGTTTTTCTCATAGATTATTATAATTAATTAAATGAATTCAGTTAAGTCAACGCAAATAAAGTATAACATTTGACAATTAGATTAGGTAGGTAAAGAATCTTGTTATACATATATGTATTTCAAGCGACATTTTTTTATAAAAAGTTTATTATGACGTTATCAATTTTCTAATAGCATGACCGACTAGTATAAAGATTATGGCCTGTCCAAAGGAATGCCAAAGGTACCATACGTGCTGCCATCTATTAATAATTCAAAATCGACAAAAGAATTATTAACACCTTTTGAAAGGCACAAAGGCATTCATACCCAAACAAACCACCATTACACGTTTTGAAGTCCCATAATGTCAAGTCAAATTAAAATTTTGCTAAATTATTAAGTGTAATTATTAATAGATGGCAACACGTATCGTACCTCTTGGACAGGCCATAATCTTTATACTAGTCGGCCATGCTAATAGAAACAAATACAACAATTTGAATAAGTACAGTGTAGTGCTAATAACAACAGTAGGTACTGTGTTCCGAAAATTTCACGAAAATGCGACAAGGTATATGTTTTTGATCAAAGAATAAAATTAACTGTTTCATTTGTTATTTTTTTATATTTACCGTTACATTTTTAAAAATAAGAGTGAATTTAGAAAAGACATACCTACAAGTATGAAAGTATGCTATATACGCATATTTCAAATAACCTTTATTTAACAAAATTTTAATGTGCTGTTAACAAGCTTTGAAAAGGATACACATTCTGATTAGCAATTCACCATATGGTAACCAAAGTGTAGATATGCAAAATTTTGGAGTAATCGGTGTCCTACTTATTTTTGATTTAAATTACACAATTTGATTGTACCTACTAGTTTGAATCACACATAGAAACATATTTTATTGCACATTTTAGATAGCATTTACTCAATGAAATTATGACATGACATCATATTTTTGGTGCGTTTCATCGTCTATACGATATTTTTAAAATTCTACTAAAATTTCACAACAATCTGTGTAGTAAATACTTTCGTAGATTATCTGTATCTATGTAATAAAATTGTCAATAGACGATTGACAGAGGAAAACGAGAGGTCTATTTTTTATGTTCTAGGAATCATGAAACGTCCAGAAAACATGAAATTAATGGACCCCTATTACAATTCTTCGTTAGTAGGATTGGACGTAAAAAATTAATTTATTAATTTACTACTATAAAACTCATGATGTTTTCCACAGCATGGCAGTAAAAAGTGTGACTTTTTTATGAAGTGATTGATTTAGATGGATATTTCTTCGTATTGTTTTTTGTGCATCAAATAATATTAGTGTTGCTATAATTGTTGTCTTTGTTAAGCCGTTTTAATTTTTGAAGAACTGAGGATACTATGATCATTGATCAGTTTACGCTGCTCCATAGG